TGACCACATTGTCACGCTTCTTTTTACAATTCTCATGCCAAAATGCTAGTTTTAAACTTTAGTTATTAAAATTCTAGTATTGTTCCAGAACCTGCCTACATTTAGGTTTGCTGTTTCCACCATTAACTCATCTTGATGACAATTCTTTCACCCAAATTTGTGCCATTTTAAAACTGATTACAGTCTCAATGCTTTATTGAAAGATTCTGCTTTATTTTAGCCAGCTGTCTCAGCTAATAAAATAAAATAAAATAAAAAATGAATAAAAACACTTTTAGCCACTGTTATGGTTATCAAGCTTAAGATCAACATCTAGTTTGAGCCCCATGTTTGTGATGGTTGGTTTAGTGTATTGGTCATGGCTTAAATCCACATGATGGGGTCTTAGTGGAGCTGCAAAATATTATAACTTCGACCTTCTTCTCATTTAAACATAGGTCTTTAGTATAAATAAATAAATAAATAATGATGTAAAGGTTTATAAAACAGCATTCATAGGAATTCAAATTCATAATGTATGAATTGTTTCAAGTCAACAGATATTTACTTTGGGGCTGAACCCAGCATGATTAGCTGTCAACAAGAGTCTTCAACAAGATGTTCACTCAGATTCTCCAAACTTAGGGTGTATTCAGACCAGGAAAGTCCTTTGGTCCAATTGTTTGGTCCGGACCAAAAATGGACTTTTTTTTCGTTTGGTGCTGTTTGCATTCACATTGTGCTTTTTTGCAAATGAAYTATAASTTGTAARCAAAGCCATGAGGCTGACGATCATTGCTCCCATTGGACAAAAAAAGGACGGGGGCGAGACTGAGCCACAGACCCAGAAAAAAACAAGGAAGTCCTGCATGCTACAGTTCTGATGCGCACATTTATGCTGATAGTACAACTGCAATAGCATTTAAAATGTCAGAAGCAGCTAATTTAATGGTGGTTCCGTGATGATATTCTAATTTTGGAGTGGCGTCAGTAAATGTGTCCCGCAACCCAAAGGAGACGAGGTGATCTTCGTGTTCTGACCCACTTCATGCCGGCAGTAGAGCTGCTAACAGGAGACGACGAAACAGGTATGTTTTCAGTTTATTTAGCTCAGCAACGGTGGCCTGTGGAGTCCAAAAAGGTGCATGTTTAATGCAGTTGGTTCGGTTAGAGTCCGGTCTGTATTCACACCAGAAGTGAACTAAAGTGAACCGCACCAGAGTTCGTTTGGAAGCGGACCAAGACCACCTCAAAAGGCAGGTCTCGGTCCGGTTGTTTGATCCGCACCAGAGTTCGCATGAGTGTATTCACACCTGCACAAAAGGTCCGGACCAACGCTGGAAACGAACTCTGGTTCGTTTAAAGCGGAGCAAATTATCAGGTCTGAATACGACCTTAGATTGTTCTGAGTGCAGTCTGTAGCAGGTAAGATACTGCCCGTTGACAACAACTCTACAACCCCCTCTTTCAGAAGATCCATACCATCCCTTTAAAGAAATATAAAGCTCCACGTGCAGATATGTGCAAAAAAGGTTTGTACAGTGGGTGAAAAGGGAGCAGAAACACAAACTCATTGAACCACAGTCGTTACATCAATGCGAAGTGAAGTAAGTTAGCCGTCATTTATGATGTTTTAAAATAACAGACTGGGACAGACTGAACTGTTTTACCATGACGGAGGAGCTGAGAGATCTGCCTCCCTTACTTTCATAAAATACCATAGTTCAGTTTGTGCTCTTAAAGCACATCAAACTCTTGAGTTAGGCTGAGCAAAAAGCACCATCTAGTGGTGCTAAAGGCTCAGGGCACTGAACTGTCATGGAAATCCTTGATTACGCCAAATGTTTTTAATCTGATCTGATTCACTGCAGAGTTGACGTAATCCAGTTGTTTGAGTTAATTCTAATTTTCGAGATTTCTTGACTTTGTATCTGTGGTTTATAAAGACACCAAAGAACAAACACATTTGAGCTTTCATGTTCTGTGTGACGCAGCACACACCAAACACCAGCAGATCTTTTCTTGTAAAGCCACTAAGGCACCTAAAACTTTAAAACCCGTGTTTTAAGCCTTTTATGATGTTCGTATTGAGTGCGGATTAGTCCATTTCCTGAAATCAAAACATTTTCAAACATCTGACCTGAACTTAAACACTGAGTGTGTCTTTGTCTTGGACAGAGTCACTTCAAGTGTGTTTCACACACCCTGCCAAGCATAAAGAGCTCTTTGTTTTAACTTTATGGTGAATAATTCTCTAATCTCTCTCCTGGCCGGGCTTTTGGATTTCGGTCTCAGCTCGTTAACGTGCTTGGCCTGAGAACCAACATTTTCAAATCCTCCTCGCACCGATTGGACGCTCAGGCCAAGACGGCTACGTCACCCAGAATCCCCAGCGGTGGCCATTACTCCAAAATATCCATGCATGGGCTCTGAGTGGAATGGGGAAATGATTTCAACACTTCTGAGAAGGAGCAGCTGCATTATTCTGCTGCTGGATGATGACAGAGTTCAAGTTTGTCTTTTTTTTTCTCATTGGATGGCCTTTTCTGAACTCTTGTCTCTTCTGTTGTTGCAGTGCTGGTATTTACTGTAATCTTACTCTAATAAATTTGATTGGAATCCTGTTTACATTTCAACTTTAAAGAAATGACATATTGCGTTGTATGCCCAAGTTTTAAACAAAGAAATCATGATTTTCTTTTATAGAGTATATCATGGGGATAACTCAGACAAATAGCTTTTTGAGTTTCATTAATATTTGTCCAGTGGATCCTGAGATATTTTGCTAACAGACCAACAAATTAACACACAAAGACATGCACATTTACATGATTGCCTGCCTTTGAGTGTTGCCAGTAAAATGTTCTGACCCAACAAAGCAGTAGTTTTTAAAGAGGATGATATGGTTTTGTTCAAATGTCGCCACAAATGTAGGAAATCCAGAGGTTGTGCTGTAAATGTGTCGCCGTTTATGAGAGCCATTTTAGGGTGCAATTTATGCCAATTTAAATAGGTTGGAAAAGTCAGCATTCAGTGTGAGCTATTAGCTGTAATGTGTGTGTGTGTGTGTGTGTGTGTGTGTGTGTGTGTGTGTATGTGTGTCCTTGCTTTTCCTACACTGTGGGGCCCAGTTTTAAGGAAAACGTAGCCTTGTGGGGACCAGGTGCTCCTTGTGGGGCCCAAAGCCTGGGCCCCACAACTTCGGAGGCTGATTTTGGGTGTGAGGGTTGCGTTTAGGACCAAGGTGTGAATTGAGTTTAGGTTAGTTTTAGGGTCAGGAAGGTACCTGTGAGGTTAGCCTTAGGGTTTGTGGTCAGGGTTAGGATAAAAATGACCAAAAAATGAATGGAAATCAGTGGACGGGCCCCACAAGGATATAAAAACAAGTTTGTGTGTGTGTGTGTGTGTGTGTGTGTGTGTGTGTGTGTGTGTGTGTGTGTGT